AAGGCTTCTACAGAGCCAGATTTTGCAATTTGGTCTTGAAACATAATGAATAAAATTATTTGTACTCCAACTGCACTGTAATAAGGCAAAATATAGTAGAGTGTAAACATGCATCTGGTAAATAAGTTGGCTCGTCACTCCTACTGATCCTTAAAAATCTTTATCGCAGGAATTTAATCACTAAAAAACTCCAAAGTGTTGAAATCATATTGCGATAAGTGTATTTCAAAAGTAGTAAGTTTATTATTTAACACTGTAACTGCAGTTTTGCAAAAGTCATATAAAATAAATATTGACCAAATATCTATTAAATTATGTATTAAGTAGTATTCCGAAAGTGCACGCATATTTTACTTAGCACATCAATTTTTTGGGAATTCGTAGCTCTAATTTTTATTACATCTTTATTACATCGAGAAAGAGGACTTGAAATTTAATTTAACAATTTTGTTAAAACAGAGCTTTCTGAAATAATTTTTATAACTTTGATTCAAATAATTTTTATGGCAAGAACTGCGAAATAATAATATACGGAAAGTGTTAATATGTCTCACAATACTCGGTAACATTTCATCTATATAATATACAACAAAATGAACTTTATTAAAATCCACATAGAACTTGTTTTTTTTCCGTATATAATCAAAATCTCCATTATGAAGTAAACTGTTCGAGATAACAGAATGCTTGTGTTATTGTAAATTACTTGCAATCGACCACCGTTAAATCCTAATGTGCTGAAAAATTTCGTTAAGATACTTTTGAAGAATATAATTAAATTGTGTCTAATATATATTCAATAAAAATAAGGTACTTAAATCACGTTGACGTAGTCAGTGTGAAGCAATACTTTGACAATAAATTGTACGTATTAAATTAGTAAGTTTTTATACTGACCATGCGTTATGAATACTACATATTTCCCTAGAAATAATTAATATTTCTTTATTGGCAAGTATACTCAATAGCCTTACGGTATTCACCAATGTAAACCAGAAGATGGCCGATTTGACTAGACTACGATCTTAAAGTGGTAATCCTCAACGATATTTCTATAGAAGCGCTCGGTCAGGTCACTCTATGTGTCAGCTCCATTGTATACATATATATTACAGTTTATAAATTCTAATTTAAACTAGGATTTCGTCCTACATCCCACTGTATCTCAATCCTTGGCCACTTTGTTTGCAGGACCGTCAGCATAGGATTGCTATCCATAATACATTTTACAGTACACTCAAGCAATACCGCTTGTCCTTTGTGATATTTCACTCTATTTTCCGGATTGCTACGCTGTAGACCATTGTAGTGATATAAGACGAACATATCTGGGCACATACATGGTTCCTCAGGAAAAAATTCATCCATAAACGATGCAAGAAGTATTATTCCTAAATTTTCACTGTCCAGTCTCTTCCTCATGATATCGACACTGCAAGAACATTTAGATATAAAATTTGTTATCGATAGTTAAAATTAAAATCAAATTTAATATAAATAATTTTACACACGCCTATTAATGCAAAATGTAAATAATATATAAACTACGAAAGCGTTAATACATACTATTCAGCAACGGCTACTAGTCCTAGTTCCGCCAATACATCCTGTAGTAAATTTGCGGCGATAAAGTTATTCCCTTCTGGGTCAAAGCGTTTGAAAATTCTTCGCGCTTGTTCCGACGGTGTCTCTGGACTCACTAATCGCTTCTCCGTAGAGAAGAGTACAGTTAGATGCGTATCCGATCCTAGCACCCAGATTGGATGCGACGGTGATTTTAAAAATGTACCCACTTCACAATACCGTAAATGCTCTAGCAGAGTGAGAAATCCTACTGTATTCTGTTTATCAATACCGCGTAATTCTGCAAAATACGTAATATAGAGTACTGATGTAGAAAGAATAATCTACGTACAATTAAAATATACATAGAATTGAGATGACAATGTAATCAAGTTTAAAGAGAAAGAAAAATCAACTCACTTAATCCACTAATATCTTGATCGTGATCCCAGACATGACTAACTGCCCGGCCAGTAAGCATTAAATTTATTAAACTTTGGCTTCCATATCCATAGGTAGAATCGATCATGGGTTCTGTGGGATCCGACATTTCGGAGCATATTTCCAGAACTCCTTTTGTACACATCACTGTATAAAGTAGAAGTAATATACCATACTGATCTTTTAACATTCCAATTCGTTCCGTAAAGAAATCTTCTACATCATCGATGCTATTTGTAGTAAATATCCTATAAAATATGAATTAATAGCAAAATATTTAAAAAATTAAAATTTATTAGAATATTATTTTCTAATATAAGCTTACCTTAATTGAGAATGAAAAGCTTCTGATTCTAATGACACTTGTTTGGTAGCCGATGTTTCGTTAATTTGATTACCTTCGCTAATATCTTGGGTTGAATTTGCCATTGGCTCCACTGATTTAGAATCAGTGCCTTCTTTGCTAGATACGAAGTCATTAGAATCATTGGCGTGTACTACTGAATACTTAGGATCTTGAACATCAGCAGCCTGATTTATAATTTCAATCAGGGCTTTCACAAGTAATTGATCACATTTTTCATCTTTGATATCCTTCCAAGTTATAACATCGCTCTCCAACAGTAACTGCTTTAAAATAAATGCTTGAACCGCAGCTATCACAGCGCAGGGTCCTCCTTCCGTCTGTACAAGCGCAGTAGGTTCATCTATACTGAAGTAGAAGCCTACAAAAAATTAATTAATGTAACCATAATTAGAACATACAGTGTAATACATTACATAGTAATAATACAGTAATACATTTATAATATTTCTAGAAACTTTATAATGTTACGTTTTGTATATATTATATAAGAGGTACATGAGCATTATTCAACACTAAGTTATCAACTTAATCAATTATACATTGCTGTTAAGCAAATACTTTTATAGAAAATAATTGGGTAAGGCAAAATGAATGAATTTTCACAGGTTATCTTGCATGAAAGTTGCTATTAACACTAATGATTGACCATTGGATCGGTGTGGTCCCATATAAAATTCTTGTGTCTACATGAGAATAAGCCATATTGAAGAAGAAAGCCTCAATACCTTGCGCCCATCGCTTGAAAACGTCCTCCTTGACGGTCGAACCCCACAAAAGCGTTTTAATATTTTTCAGGAGCTCGTCGTCGCCCGCAATGGCATTATCGGCCATTATCTTCCGGGTGCGCGCGATAATACGGGAGATTAAAACGCGCCGTGTACACGAATCTTATCTGGAACTAATCATAATACTTTCCGGCACTATTAGCTTCACGTTAAATCCTGAATTATCGGTCGCATATAGGAACTACTCGATAACCTATTTTGCACAACAGAAACCTGCCAAGTACGTCGCCATTTTGAACCGTTTTCTCTTTCACGTGAAGTGCGAACAAAGATGGATCCCTTTCCACGACGATGCGCACTCGAATATGCGCAATCGATATATCGAATTTCAGTTTGAACACAAATTCAAGAGTTAGAATTACTTCGACTAAACTTTAGCTAATGTAATCAACGACTTTATTTCAACGTTGTTTTACTTATAGGCCTTATAGCTTATAGTAAAAACTCTACCTATATGCAATTCAGTTTCTTGAGGTAATGCGATTTTTTTAAAAAGAAGGTTAAATATAACTGGCAAAATAATTAACAAAATATCTTAAAGTACGATAATTTTCACGAATTATCGCGCAATTATGTTTGTAATATTATTTGCTGACCTTGAATGAGTTAATGGTTTTGATTTTTTAAAACAATATGTAGCAATACACGTACGTGAATAACAAAAATATCTCTATACTTTATTACTTCGTAATGAGATATTAAGTAACCATGTATATGTAAGTCATATATTAAAAAGCTTAAGAACTATTTTCGATTAGTTTAAGAACTATTTTCGACATTGCAAGAAGTCTTGCGTGAAAAATTCAGTACATTTTTTACGTCTAATTAGATGATTGGCTCAAAGTTCAAAGTTACTTTAACAAGACGGATTGTATTGTTTATTGGTTATATTATTATTTGAAATATACTTTAAGTGTATAGGGTGAATAATTGTTTTAAGTGTATAAAGTGAATAATTGCTAATGTTTCTGGAAACTTTGTGTTTAAATATATTAGTAATATAGTTTCGTGTTTGCTAAACGCAACTTGTACACAATTAATTTTTATCCAGACAGCCATTCACGTATTATCTAAGAAATCACATAATGTCTTTATGACTAAAAATAGATAATCAAGAATTATTTTGTGATATATTTTTGCAAGGAAGTAATAATATGGCAAATACAAGAATGTATCTACGATTGAATATACAAAAAGAACTTCTCTTTTTGGTATATGATCAAGCTAATTATTTATATATATATTTAATAGCATAAAGAAAAGAGATAATTATCTTTAATTAATGTGGTTTACTACTGCAGAAATTTTATAAAATGAATTTTTAAAATGTAGAGTTCTACAGACTTCTAAAATCTTAAATAAGAAATAGCGTATATTTAATTTTTACATAATAAAAATGAAAAATATGATAAAATATTATATTTAATATTTAATTTCTTTTATATCAGTTTATATAATCTATTGCAGTTTCTTTATACTATTATCTGCAATTTGGCTTTAATTAATGCAGGAGCCACTTTAGGATATTCCTCCGTAGTACTTCCAGTACTGGCAAGTAATAGATCATCAATAATTTTAAACGCAATGGAGATATCTTTTTTCGGTAATAACTGTTTTCAACGAAAAAAATTTAATCTTATTTCCTACTACAGAATGTACTTATTAACATATTTTGTAATAAATAATACGATTTCAATTTTTATGACTTTTAACATATCTGTTGATAACAACAATAATTTGAATAATTTTATATGAACCTAATTATATACAAAAATTTATTCGAAAAACTTTTATCTAGCTTCTACAGTATCTATCTCCCAAATTATTGGTTGCCTCTTATCATAATGAACTATGGAAGACTCTGTACTATGATAGTATGTGGTGTAAATTTTTCTTTGGGATGGATTCTCATTGCGAGTAGTTATAATGTGATACAACTTTTCATCGGTAGAATGCTAACAGGTGAGAAATTCATCGAATTGAAAAAGGAAAACCAAATCTTCTTGAAACTGGTTATTTCTTTAATGAAAAAGCAAACAAAAACAATCCGTAGGAATGCTTTTTAAATTTTCAGGAATTGCAATGGGTATATGCGCAGCTTATGTTGGAATATATTTAGCAGAAATCTCTATTACTTCATGGAAAACAGTCATTACAATTATTCCGAACATAGCTCTTATCACCGGAATTCTGATCGTTTATCTTCTAGGATTTGTTCTACAGGTAAGAGCATTAAATAATTTTTTATTAATAAGAGAATAAAAATATCATTGATAATTAGATAAAATTTGAGTTAATCATCACACGTTATCTAATACAGAATTTCAGTCAAACAAGTTCGTTTGAAATTTTGCAAAATATCTGCTGATAAATTTTGTCAACAGAAAGGTTACTTTGATGCAGAATCCGTGAAATGAAATACTGGCAAATGCCATACAAGTGTGAGAGAAAAACTCTTTACATGACTTCAAAACAGATTGATGATAGAAATCAAGCAGACTTGCACATAGTTTGACGCAGATTAATAGCAGAAATCGAGCAGAATCTACATTTGATAAGTTTTTTTCGATTTTTGCTGCCAATCTGCCATCAGTTATATCAACAGGCTCTCGCTAGAGCAATGCGAACGCAGACGAAATCAAATCTGTTCAATTTTTTAAATCAAATTTACTATTTATTAATTTGCTGCCATTCTGATAATAAACTATTGTACTCTATTTGTTTTTTGAATTTTATTTGAGTGCATTAATATCGATTTTACTAAAAATAGACAAATTAAAACTTTAGACGTTACTATTGTTAACGTAATAAATATATACATATAATATATGTAATTAACATATAGATATATAATAAAATATAAATATAAATTAATATTTATATTTTATTTTATTTACATTTATTAAAACACATTTATATTATTTCAGAACGATTGGAGATCAATAGCAGCATTTTTTTCCATACTCTCCATATTGTTTGTCCTATGCAATATTTTCTTCATCCACGAAAGTCCTGAGTGGTTGCTCTTAAAAGGCTGAAAGGAAGATGCTAGGATTCTACTTTGTATCCGCGGACTGCGTCAGGAAACTACAGAATTCCAAGAAGAGTTTACCAAAATGACAAACTATATCGAGTCGAAAAATAAATTTGAAATATCTGAAAATTACCGAATAGATTTCTCCTCGACTAAAAAAACCGGACAGAGGTTTTTTACTTGGAATGTGTGGAGCATATTAAAAAGAATTTGGAGAACAATCCTTCTACTAGAAGTGTGGAAATCTTTTGTGATATTAAATCTCTATTTACTTTTTTAAGAAGCTTTGTGAACTTTATATGTTTATATTTTATACTGTTGATCTTATCACCAGGATCAACATAACAATAGATCCATTTTTGATCACTGTAATAGTAGGAATAATTCAACTAGTATTGTAATCACTGCATGTTGTAGCAAAAGGTAATTATTTTTCTTTATTATGTACAGTTTACAATTACATTCAATATGAATTTTTTATAAAAACATAATACATATAAAAAATCAAACACCAATAGTTGAAGTAAAATTAATAATCGATGACAAGAACGGTAATTATTAATTAGCGAAAATTTAATATTATACCTGTAATTTTAAATGTTTTAAACTCAACAGTTGTCGGGATATTTTTTTATGGACTTTTGTGATTAATCTGTAGATTGCTCTATTAAAATGCTCATTAGATACACGTTATGATATATCTTTCAAATTGATAATATTCCAGAAATTTATATAATAAATTTCGAAATTTTATTAGAATTGGTCGTCGAACTATTTCGATTGTGTCTGTGTGGTGTTGGTATATCAATTTCTTTGAGCGTTTTAGCAGTGTACCTCCAATTTTTTGAGAACATTGGCATTACAACTATTCCCATTGTTTGTATCCTTTTCTATGTGGTAAGAAAATAATGTTTTCATAAATATTTCGTCAATAGTTATATAATTTTTTTTAAGAAAGTAATTATTATGATGATTTTGGCAAAAATCTAACATAAATTTAACTTTAGGTATTATCTTAAAAATGATTTGTCAATATTAGCTAATTATAAAGTTTAGAATCAATCTCTAAATCGCAGAGTTTTGGATCATTTGGATTTTTTTCGATTCCTTGGTCCATGATTCCGGAACAGTATCTTACCAGATATGTGAACGTTCTCGCCGTTCTCGGACAGCTTACTATTTTTATCTCTCTTGTGGGCAGCTACATAATACAATCGTATCCAATAATGGTAACGCATAGAAATGCATTTGTTTTTACTGCATGTTTATTATTGCTACTATTTTTCTAATGATTGCTTTACCAGAGACACTGGGGAAGACGAAAACACAGATAGAAGATGCCTTTAGAGGCAAGTTACAGATAGAAACTTTTAAAAAAATTGAAGATACATGTTAAACGAATGCAATGAATAGTTTAATGTTACTGAAACAATTTATGCAAATTAATGTAAGGTAATATAAGAATTCGCAAGTAATATAAAACGCGTCATTTGCAACAGAAATATTTTTTTTTAATAATTAAGATTAATAAAAAATAATTAAAATAATCGAAATTATAATTAATTAAAATTAATTAAAAATAATTAAAAATATATAGTTATATAGTTATATAGTTATATAGTTTTATGTCAAATTTTTTCCGAAGTGCGACAGTAGATTCTGAAGATTTTTCACGTTGAACACAATGCCATTTTTAAAATTTGGATATCCTGTCAGAATTTTAATTAATTGTAAAATACAGTCAAAAACAGAGTTCTACATTTTTCCGTAAAAAAATTGTTTCTAATTAAAGTTAACAGAATTAAAAGTACAATTCAAGAGCTTTCGAGTGAATTTTAATTCTTTTCTTTTTAATTCTTTCTACGTGTCACGCGTTCATCTAGAGTTTATAATGTTTGTTGTATCTATGTTTGTTGAATCCATACCATCTGTGGTATGTAGATTCGTGGATATCACGATGGATTCTCTATCTTTAAAGTACATCATACAACAGATACGAGAAAAAGTATTTTTTTATATTATTTGCCAATATACGCCCATTTTATTTTTACAACTTTTCCACAGAGAGTTTTGTGAAGCAAATTCTTTTGCGCAGAATAATCAGAATATATAAACGCAAAAAATAAATTTTTTAAGTCATCTTTCATAGAAATGCAATTGTCGCTACTGGTTATCAGTTTATTAAATCGGTGTGATACAATCACATACAAATTCGTATATCTATGACATGTAGCTGCATTTATATATTAAAATGTTAACTAGCTCTATAGTGCAATACCTTGTGTTTATTGCTTAAAAATGTTTTCCTTTGGTTTTCCAATTTCACAGAGGAGCATTTTCGTATTTTTCAGATTATTGCCTGCGATTATCGCCCATTATCTTTCAAGAGATCCTGTACTTTAAAATAAATTATAAAAGTAAGTAAATAGATATATTGACCAATGAAATTAAATATTCTAATAAATTCGCTCATTTTTTTATAATTTTTCCTCATTTTAAAATACAAAATCCTTATAATGCATGCAATAATATAAATAATAAATTGAAACATTATATACATAATAAATGTGCTACGTGCATAATATAAAAAAATTACTAATTTTATATATGTTAATAAAATAATATTTGATCTCATCTGCTCTTCACTTTAGCCATATATTTTTATTGGCTTAATTTATGCAACTTCTATGTAATTTATGGATTGCTAACATCTATTTCTTACACTCTGCTTTTGTTACTTCGTCTTTAATATAGGGAATGTAAATTTTTTCTCGCGCAAATTACACTTAAATAGTTATATTTTAATACAATGTGCGTACACTCTTATCTTGATACAATAAATAACATGTCTTACGCTTTATGCATATGCATTATTCATTATTGCTCGTAATCGTACATTCCAAGTGAAAGCAAAAGCTCGTAGATCCACGAGCATTTCGTGAAGGCATGATAGCTCAACATGGCGCGTTTACTGACAAAAGTACGAAAAATACTTTGTGAAAAATTAAATTATTTAAAGACGAATTCAATTGTGTAAAAAACAGGATATCAAATTTTCGAGAAAGATATTGAGTGGAACATTACATAATATTTTCAAATATATTGTATATAATATGTAGAAATATAAGTTCATAAAAATTAAGTATTTATAGACGATTGGAATAATTACAAGAGTCGTGGGCATGTAGTCTTAACAATATCTAGATACAAGAGTGAAGGATCCCGAATTTAGATTCTAGTTTGTTGCGTTAATCTTTTGTAATTACAATTTTAGAAATGGAGTTAGAGGATTCGTTTATTCTCGAGTGATAAGAGGCTCTGAAAATTGATGTTTCTAGTGAATGCATGACATACATTCGAAAAGGAATGTTAATATCTAGCTGGACAAGTCATAAAGTTTAGGATAAAAATAAAAGGAAAATTATCAATAACATTTGAGGATGAGTGTTTTATCAGACTTCTAAAAATATAGGGTCGTAAGATCCATTAGATACATGTATGTAAGATGGTATATATATTAGGACCAGTGAAGCACGACATGGACATTCAGTTTTAATAGTACCTAGATGTGAGAACAAAGGCTCCTATTTATAATACAGAAGAAGGTAGAAGAAGGACTTTTGCTGGTAAGATCTTACTTAAAAATCTATTATAATTAATAGAAATCTCTTGAAAAAAATTTTTTATTAAACAAAAAATTTCTAGGATCTTACATGAAACATACAACAATAAAGAAGGAAAGAAAGTCTTTAATAATCAAATTGAATCGCTTAATTCTATATGAATTATATACTACCTACGTAGTCATTTAAATAAATTTAAATGATTACATCTAACTTAACCATTAAAGGTTTTTCTTTCCATATCTTTAACTCTTAGATAAGTATTAAAGTTGTAAAAAAATTATCACCATGACACGTTCGTTTTGTTGGTAATTGATGTTTTTCTATTACGAAATATATCAAAATTTTTTTCATATGATTGTCAATGTCAAATTTAATATGACTTAAAGTATATAAATAACGAGTTTACATTTTAAATTAATTCTTAAAGTGCTGTTCTTCTGTTTTGAGAAGATAGAGGTAAGGGATAACTATGTTTTCGCTGGGACATAATAAAATGTAATTTTCAAAAAATATTTATTGTATTCTTTATTATATTCTTTGTGTTATATTGAGCCTCCAACAATTGAGTAATTAATGTGGGCCTCGTTATGTACATTGCAGAGAGTTGTTTTTCGTGAAAACTCGATTAGTATTTAAAAAAATGTCCTTTAAGAAGTCCCTAAAGATATATCTACAAAGCAAGAAAGAATGCTCATAAACATTCACAAGAACAGGATCAATACAAGAATATTATTAGTAGACTGTATTTATAAAAGAAAATTTCTGAATCGTATAATATTTTAATACAATCAGAATTTTTTATGAATTCAAGCATGGAAAACCCAAAATAAAAAATTGAAGAATCCAGAATTTTGGAAAAATATAGGAAACACACTTTACTATTACGTTTAAATAGTCAATCACGTTTCTTTTTATTTAAACATTTCATTAAAATTTTTTTTATTTTATAAATTGTCTTAATCATTTAAAATGTATTTTATATTAAACTTAAATAACTCAATAATAAAAGAAATACAAAGTCGACAGATTTAAACGAGCATACAAGATGATGACTGATTAACTTATTCTGTTATTTTACTTTTTATGAGATGTATATACTGCACGTATGTTTCAGACTTTACTTAATCTTCCTCAGCAACTAAAAAAAAAATTATAAGTTTATAACAGACCGAATTGTTTAAGAATCTCATTTCATGTATAAATAAATGCAGATGTTACATAATTCTCCTGTCAGTAATCAATCATTATATATTTAATGTTTTTAATGATGTCCATATTATAAAATTTATATTGTAAACCAATTCTTCGGTCTGTGGCGAGAAGGTAATAACAAATTTTAAAAAACATATATGTATCATATCATCAAGTTAACGATAATGCGGATGCATACGATGTTAGAATTTAATTATCAGAGGAGAAATACGAACAAAAAATATTAGAAGCACATGCAATAAATATTTAACATCAGGCGTTCGTGCAATAAAGATCTCACAACTTATATTTCTTGTTCAATATATTACATGTACCTTCAGTACCTCTCTCTCACAATTTCCTCTGATTATAACTAAATAATAGAATAAATCAATTATCTTGTTTGCCTTCCAAAACTTACTGACTTTGTATTTGATTTGTTATTTCTCGTTCCCAGGGAATCGCATGACGGAATCGTGTAGAATAAGTAAACGATAATACATCATTTTTTCGGCTATTTCCTGAAATTTTCGAAGCATTTCGTGATCTTTCGTCGGAATGCGGATTAGCTAGAAGTTTGTTATTATCGAATGCTTAAAGAAATTGCAATAGATAAATTAATTGGAATAGACGATGATATATTCCCTTTTCGACCATTTTCTAGAATCTTCTAATTCTGAGCATTACGTGGTTTTTCACCGGAATGCGGATGTTAGAATAATTTAATATTTTTAATACTTTCAATAAATAAATCGTTAGGGATATCATTGACCTGAATATAATTTAAAAAATTAAAACATACATTACAAATACATTAAAATACATTAAAAATTCAAAAAATATATTAGGAGCTAATTATATTTTCCTTTAATAATTTTTTGAACATCTGAGTATAAAATAGCTTTGAAATAATTACAAAAATTTATTTAAATTTGTTCATATATTTCTATTTTAGCGATATGCACTTATAACAATAGACATTTTAAATCTCTTTTATTGATCTGTACTAGAATATATCCAAATATAATACTAGCCTAAAAAGAGCAGAATATCTCGAAGTTAGATAAGTCAATTGGCGGTTGGTCTCGAATTCCAATACAATACATCAGGAAGCGTTTCAAAATGTTTGCGGGACAGATAAAGGTGCGTAATCATCTGCATTATTTTCTTTTAAAAAATTCCAGGAAATATATTACAATTTTAAATAACTATATATGTTCCTCCATCAGATATTCTTCCACTCTTGTAAATAAACTTCAATAAACTGCGGTTGGCGAATCATGAAAGTCAATTCCGATCAAACGCGCCACAATAGAAACCGTCGTAGAATCGTGATAAAATAGAAACGTAGAATATGTAGATGTAACGGCGTGAACATCGTCAGCGTTATTTTCTCCTCGAGCACGCACTTCTACGCTAATCACGTAATTAAATTCCGCCAGACCGGAGGACCTAATGAGTCATAATTGCTCCTGGTAATGCTTGCATGTAATCGTACATACTTTGTTATAATTCCGAGGACTTACGACGCTTACAAGCGGAATAGAGCGAGATCTAGACACGGAAGTGGTTATAGCTGCCGTTTGCTACTCCTTGCAAATTCGTTCGCGTACTCGTGTAACGTAATCATACAATTGTAATCGAAATAAACGCGGCATCTATCTGTCTACATCGTGAATAGAATCCTTTTCTTCTATTAATCCGAACTGAAACAAATTTTAATTCCGCGTTTATACAAGTCAAGACAAACCATAAGACGTATCTCCTTTTAATACAAAAAAAAATTAGAAACGAGCAGCGACCTTTCACGCTGCTTTCAATTTCGGGAGAAGATTCATTCATACGATTTTGTCGATAATGATAAAATAATTGGACAGATATCTTTGTTATATAAGATGAAACTTAATCAACTCTGCAATCGAAGTTCGTGGTAAATGAAAAAAAATTTAAAAGATCAATTTTTTTAAATCATATAAAGGTTATTGTCTTCTTGGGTAACAAAATTATTTTTGCACGCAGACGGTCAATTTTTTTTATCTCTGGATATCATAATAAGTAATTTGCGAATATTCGAAAATATTACAAATTGCAAAGGGATAAACTTAAAATGTTCGTGATATTAAACCGGCAGTAAAAACGCTCTTACAAGAAATTGATAAAAAACTGTGTTATTATATTTTCTTAGAGCTTGCAATTACTACTCTTGTACTGTATCGTCGTACAAAGCTACGCCACACATGAAGATGGATTCACATCGACTGAGTTAAAAACAAAATCAGAGGTATCCAAAGGAACTACGACGAGCGCTAATACTCGTATCATTGATCAAAATTCCAATAAATCCTCCCAGTCTGATCAAGGAAAAGATTTTTTTTTCTCCATAGGACCTAAAGCTAATCCGATAGGTAAGAAAAAGATTTTTCTTCTCCATAGAAAGGCGCGACATTGTGTCAAAATAAAAAAGAGACTAACTTAGAAGAATTTCGAATTGTTACACAGGTCATATTAAAATATCAAACAATACATTTTCTGAATTGAAAGAGTGGCTTTCAAAACTGCTTCCCATCAATTGGGAAAATACAAAGCAAGACTCACTTAAGGAGATCACTCCAGATAATAATGATAGCTCCAAAGAAACATCTGATAAGATCTTGTCTGATAAGACTGAGTCTCCATTGCACCCAAAAGACGACAGTCCGATAGGTAAGAGAGATCTTTGTCTTATATGCAGAAAAATATCATTCTATTACTAAGAAAAGTGATTACTTAATTTATTTCCTTCCTTTTAAATAACGGTTATCTTTAACAAAGAATATTTTTTATAATAACCTTAAAATATACTCATTTTTTATAAAATTTTAAAAATATTTATTATTGTACTTAAAACAAGAATTTCTTTTCTTTTGGAGAATATTATAAAATTGATTTAAGACACGAACTTTTCATAATATAAGCAAATAAAATTAATTTTAATTTAATAAACTTGGTCAAAGTATTAAACTTACTAGAATTCTGAATATATTTTGAATAAATTTAATGTTTGTGATAAATTTAATGTTTATGAAGATTTACAGATATATGAACTTTTGAAATAAATAATTATTATTATACTTGAAATAAGTAATTATTATTTGTCTAAAGTAATTATTACTTGCCTATTTTTTTGTGTGTAGAACAGTATGATGTCACATTAAAATAAACAAATATTCAATACAAATAAGTGGAAAAAAATATCATATTCGAATGAATCTTTGTGCATATTAATATTTTTAAATTTATACAATTTCCAGTTTAAGCAAACTGTGTGCCGATTATTTGTTGGTCTTGAAACACTAATATTTAATTGCTTATCAATTTAGTTTATGTTATTACCAGTTAACCATTCATTCCAGTTTCAGTTTAAGATTGTGTTTTAAGATTGTCGGCGCACAGTTTGCTTAAACTGGAAATTGTGTAAATTTACAAAAAATATTATTAAGCACGAAGATTTGCTTTGAATTAATATGGCGTTTTTCATTCATTTAATATTTTATCAGTTGATTTTCACAAAATCTTATTGACAAAATATTTTACAAGAATCTCTATTTCTTATGCAGAGGAGGTGGCAAGCACAATATTCCCGGAAATTGAAAATCCGGTCAAACAAAGAATTCATACAGAATCCCATTTTGTTTGGTATTTATTTGGCCGTCCAATAATAACACATTATTCAAAACATTTCACTGAGCAAAAGGACAAGAAGAACTTCTCCCAACTTCCACTGGAAAATTAGTTTTGATTGCCGGCAGAAAATAACGACAACGAATCGAAAGATGAGAAAAAGATTTTTCGCCATGGAGAGACAGAATATCGCGCCAAAGTGAGAATATCATTTTGCAAGAATTTCAATCTCTTACATAGATCAAAAGATAAACGCAGGCGAAGTTTGCGATATCGATGGAACAAACAAAAACTATGGAATTACATCATCTCAGTAATCGACAATGGATATAAATGGATTAAAATTTTTATGCGTCTTTTAAGAATCCAATTGAATCCTGAATTTAAAAAAAATTTATTCAATTGAATTTCTATTCAAATGAATTTAACTGGATTAAATTGGATTGAAAAACTGCATTTTCTATTCAGAATTTTGAATTGAGCAGTTTTTACGATGCATAAAAAAAGTTAATATTATTTTTAAATTAAAAGGCATAGAAATGTATCATTCCTTTATACAATTCCTATAAATGAATAAAAATATGTTTGAATTAAAAAGAATTTATTTTAACGTTCGCGAATGCGCATTTCTGAAAATTTGAATCCATTTCAATTCATAATTCTGGTTTATTAGGAAGACCCAGTAAGATCTTTCGTTTGATTACCAAAAGGAACCGATCGGCCAAACCATTTCACAATTTCTGCCATGATATATTGATAATAATTATCAAATTGTGAAAAACAATAGCACATTAAAAAAGTTTCACATGGAAAACTATACCCCACATTTGTACCCCATAAACTCCATACAATACTTTCAATTACCACTACTTAGGTTCAGTTTTTCACAACTCATGGTTAATTCTTAATCGAGGTTTAACTTATTCCTCATCTCTTTCTAATGCTAGAATTGGAAAGAAATGAGAAATAAGTTGAACCAGGCTGAATTCTTTTGTTGTTGTATTTATTTTCCCCAATTTATTTTTCCAAAATTTTCTTCTAGCTTTTTTTAATCTTATATTACAATTATATAAAATATTTAAAAACATTTTAAGTATTCACAAATGTAAGTATAAAAAGAAATGTAAATATTTAGAGTGTTTCAAGAGCTTTTGCTCAATCCTTTTAAATTAAATAAATACATATATTTGAAGTGAAACAATATATCGTTGAGCTTCTTTCGCATTTAAGCATTTCTTTCACACTTAGCGACTTAATCTTGCCACGTCGTTTTTCTGATACTTTCGCAAGTTTTAACGATGTTACGCTCGCATGGTGAAATTTATGCGATGAAATGCGTCCGTTAAATCGGGCACGATGAAGCATTGCCGAACAGGTGACCCGTTTTACAGATCAGATAATTCGTGATACTCGTGATACACTCAGATTGGATGGACAAATGCGCCAACTTAGCTCATACTAATGTCTCAATTCTATAACTTAAATAATCTGCTTCGTGTGTCTCAAGCGATAGTATTCGTATACCGCGGATGTATAATACGTACATAGAAATACGCAAATTACGTACGCAACAACGGTAGTCGGCGTAAAAAGGAAATTAATTTTATTCGCAAGATCGCGGTAAGATAGACAAAGGAAGATACCCAAGAAAGCCAAGCGCTCCGGTTTGTGTTCCGGTTTAACGGCCCGGTATTCACTCGCCCGGCGTGAATCGCGTCGTTTTTAGCGAGTTGGGATCTTGCAACACAGCCGGCGTGTACTCGTTGTAATTAGTTTGACTTTCACCTATCGCGGTCGCCATCCATGTCGAGTACCGTCCGCCGCCATCGCCGCCGCCACTACCGTCCAAACAGATAGTCTCTCAACGTATTCGTGGATTTAAGAGCCATCGAGATCCAACAACTGTCATCGGTGCGATTTTTCATGCGAATGACAGATGATTTTGTAATCGCGATGTGTATATGTAAATACGACATATCGGCCAAGGACACACAAATTCTTCAGGGCTCCCCGGAATCTCTCTCTCTCTTTATCTTACATATTTTCGCTTCTCCTGCTCTCTCTTTCTTTGTCCGTTACTGTTATTATCATACATTATACAGGTTACAAGCGACGCACGGGAGAACTTTGAATCCGCAATCGATATCGTATTAAATATCGGCGATATATTTATTAGTCAGATCTCTCTTCTCTTTTTCGATTATCTCGTCAGCCTTGAGAACCATCGAAAGTCTCAAGATTCTCTGTAATATCAGGTAGGTTTCGAAAGAGATTAGAAAAGTTGATTACGCGAATTTTGGCATCTATTGAAGATTTAAGGGTGGGCGAGAGAGCGCCCGTATAATGCAACGGCAATTTCGATATTACGGAACATCTGCTGAAGATTGTACGAGCGTCTCGAAGGCGGATCTTCTTTTACCATCTTTATATTCTACGAGATTATTCTGTTGAAATTGTGCTACGGTAATGGGGATACAGATCGTCAAGGCAGCCAAGCGTGCACATTTGACATTAAGACTCCCGGTCCTTCATTGCGATTACATTGAATAATGGCGAAAGAAAAATCATCCTTTTCAATAATGCAAATTAATTTATTAATTTATTGTATTAATATAGACTGTTTGTAATTGTAAATTATATCACCGGAAATAAACGATTGCGTGTATAGAATAATTTATATATGTACATATATTAAAATATAAGATACAGATAATAATATATATAATCAGCATATATAAAATACGACAAGTCAGAGGTAACAGTAATAATAAAAAATTATAAAAAATTACCAAGTAAGAAATACTTAAATTTTATGATATTGGAAATGGAAAATAATGTGAAGAGTCAATATTACTAAGTATTTCTCACTATAAAAGGCGTGATATCGCGCCAAAATAAAAATAAGATATTATTTCACAAGAATTTCGATCTTTTACACAGATAAAAAAATTATTATGCACGAAGTCGTTAAATAAATGGAAATCTACTTAAATTTTTTTATCTTGGAAATAGAGAAGAGTCCAAAACAGAGACATTAACAACGGACCGGCCTTTGTGTATTCTGTAATTTATGATAGTAACAATATCATACATTTCATTGCGTAGTTTTTTTTACCGTGTACGAAATCCACGCAACGACAATATAACGATATCATTACTGTCATAACGTATTACAAAATACAGAGGCTGGGCTGTTTTTAGTGAGTTATATTTTAAAGAATACGTAACCATTAAACATAGACTCGGTCCGTTGTTACTGTCTCAATCTACAGATAAATACATCAAATTGCTACGAAATTTCATAATGCAAGACAACAAGAGAAAATCAGTGCATTCCACACACTGCGGGATTCGGACCGTGATTTGGTCTCCAAGTTTCTTCTAAACAACGACTCTGTCACTGAATCACATAGTTCCTATGTAGATATTTTTTCTGTTGTGCCTTTATGTGTACATATGTATATTATATATACATATGTATATATATATATATATATATATATATATAAAATAAACACATATTGCTTATTTGTGTTATTTACGTAATGGTCATTATTATTACTGTTCACTGTTTTCATTGTAAAATATATTCTTTTGATAAGAACTAAATTCTCCTAAAGTATGCTCCAGAGATTTTGAATAGTTTAAAATATCGCGGACAAATCATACTATCATATTTATTTTGTCATATTAAATTTAAAAGAAAATTTTATCGTAATCCAACGGCTGCAGCGAAGGGCAAGGAACTTCTTAGACGAACGAGCTAAAAATGTGGGTTTTATTACGCCCAATTCTATTATATTTCCGAGGTATGAAGGCGGGTGAAATTATTCGAGGCCGACTTGAAACACAATCTTACGACTGAAGGAAATTTGGAATAAAAAAATTCAATTATATTTGACGACGATCTCTCCTACTTCTCGATGCCATGTCGGTGAAACTCGTCTCCGATAACGTAACCATTACTCGTGTAAACTTTCGTGCAAAATGTGTACAATTTATTAATTAAAATCACCATCGTATTTACAATTTGTGCAGTCTGTTGCACAAGAGCGCGCGGGCGATTACTTACTCTCATATCATTATCTTGAAATTAAAATTCTTCGTACCGTTTGAAAGATCGTTAGACAGCATTTTTGTGCTATTATCTGAAAAGATAAAAGATAATGTAATAACATAATATAATACAATAATCTGAAACAAGCTCGGCTTGGAAAGTAGAAAATCGCCTTAATGTATTAGATTGGTCATCCCGATCGGCTGATCCAGCAAAAAATCTCTGGGCTCTCATCGGGACGGAGATTTGAAACAGATATGCGTTTTGAAGTGGTCACATTTCCAAAATGATATAGCGATCATCACACGTATCACGTACTGAAAATTTAGTGGAAAGTATGGTGAAACGCTGCCAGGCAGCTGAACTGAATATTATATTGGGTAATAGCATGAGAGTTAGGTAATGACATGAGCGTCTAATGGTCTTTCAAACGACACAAAAAATTTTGCAAGGCAATGGGACGCGGGAGCAATCGCCCCCACGCGCTCTCCTGCGACAGACCATACTTATTTACATAAATATACAATTCATCATTTACAAATATATGCACTGCACGATATATATTTGACTCACGATGTACCCGCTTTCGCACGCTTTGTTTTAGCACGGATTGATCGATTTTCTAAGAAAAATTGATATTGCGCAATTGCCTAGAATAGCCTGAAATTTATATAGCGAAACCGACCACCGATTATATCAGAGGATAATTGTTTGCAAGCCTTTATTGTGATGTCTGGCCTGCAACAACGAGAATGAAATCGCTCTGATGAGGGAGCAATCGGCCGCCGTTTGCGAGCAAATAAGGTACCCTTCTACGTGTGGTAATAAACCGTTAAGAGAGTGAGCCGCGTCATATTGCGTACATGTAATATTACACATCGAGCACGTTCACTCGAATACGATTTTGCGATTTATATAGTCTCGCTTCGTTACGTACATCCCGCCGATATCCTCGAGATTCTTCTTCTATGCCCGCTTCAAGTAACGCGATCGCGATAATAACACGACGGAGAGAAAAATGAACCGAATCACCGAAGCGTGAACTTTCCTCTCTGTCTTTTTCTTTACTTGAAATCGGATCATCTCTAGCACAGCGCTTTTCTACCACGGTACTACTTGTCTTCTCGCAAAAACAATGGTACGGAAAGATGCGAGAATAATTCCAACACCTTCGCCTACATATGTATACGTATTGTTGAGAAAAAAAGCTGTTTATATAACTAAATTAATTTAGTTGCCTTTCTGTCAAATATAATGTTTGATTTAAATACATACATTTTTCGAAAGAAATAAAAATGCAGAAAAATATGTAAGTAATAATTACTCCAAGCAAGTAATAATTACTTGTTTCAAATATTTCAAAAATTTATATATTCGAAAATCTATTATAAGTTTATCACAAGCATTAAATTTATTCAAAATATCTTCTGAATCTCCTCTAATAAATTTAATACTTCAATCAAATTTAATACTTCAATCAAATTTATTAAATTAAAACAAATTCGTTTTGTTTATTATGGAAAATTCGTTTCTTTGATCAATTTTATATTTTTCAAAAGAAAATAAATTTTTGTTTTGAGCATATAATAATGAGTTTTTCTAATACATTTTGTAATAAGTATATTTTAAGATTATTATTAAGAAAATAATCTTTAAAGATAACCGTTGCGTAATCATTTTTTTTAGCAATAAAATGATATTTTTCTGCATGTAAACTGAATTTATTGAAGTAAACAATTTTTTTTCAGTCTATACACATTGAGTATAAAAAGTACTTACACAGGGCAAATGTTTATAAAGAAAGACTTATTTACAGAAAATTTTATAACAATATATTTTTAATTATTACACATCTTTTTAGATAAAATAATGTAAAGAAATCTATTCCATTCTTTGTTAACAAATTGTTAGTTAATATTAATTTTTAAAAAATAAAGGAAAGATATCATTTTTTTAAAAGATATCTCTCCTGTACAAATACTTTTTGCATTCACTATACAATTGGGAGTAAGAAAGTATGTTTTCTCGATGTTGCTTTCGTACCTGTTTGAAACCGTATCTCGAATTCAAATCTTTTCGAAGGCTGCTCGAAATATCGACATTAACGATTATAAAACACTACGTAACGTGATTTCAATAATCAACAGTTCAATTCATGATGGCAATTGATAAAATGTATATTAGAAATTGTATTCTTTTCATATCCACTTCAGTTAAAGAGAAACTTGAAGTTGAAGCTGTCAAAATGGTTGATGATGCTCCTAGTGAAAACATCATATTTCATTCTATTGCAAACGCATCTCCCTTAAATGTATAATCTAGTTCGAGATTAACGTTCTTCGATACAGGGACCATTGACCTACATAGACATGTAAGATAAATGTATCACTTACTGGACAGTTAATGAATGACCCAATAATTGGAGAAAAATTTGTTTTTTAACAAATTTATTTAAAGTCATACATATATCATTAAAAGCTTAACATTTAAAATGTTTTTCATAGTCCAAATATTTGGGTGTCCAATAATTGGGTTATGTCCACTGGTACATTTACGATCACCTCCGATCAACGATTCTCTTCTCATGGAGCTTACTTCGACGAGTGGGCACGAGCATCCAATAAATAACTCGCGGGTCGAGCACCCATGGATGAAATCAGAGTGAAATGCCTCGTACACTGCGCGTAGCGCATATCAAAGTTTTTCAAGAGGACGTTACGAATGCCGGTCATATCCTGACAGCCACATACGGTCGCGTAACAGCGACGACCACCTACCTATCCGCAGAAATAGATTCGCTGTTCTCCAATTCTTGCTCTCTCTTTCTCTCTCTCTCTTTCTTAGCACCTAAACGAGCAATGGATAATCGCACGGCAACAAAGTATTCGCGGAAGAAAGTAACATTGGGTAACGAGCGATCGCGTCCGGTGATGACGGGTGATCCCCGATGTGGATAACGGGGACGTTAGACGATCGGTTTACACAGTAGTTGATTCTTCCTTTTACACGCTATCACGTTTTACTCTTACTACGAGTTGTAGTAAATAATGAATAATTCATTGGTACCGTCGATCGAGTAGATAGTTATGTCAAGAGCGATTTTGCTGCATTCTTGGCATTATGATAACGCAATAAACTCACCTTTATAGAGTTTCAGACGCCTCCGATTAATCGGATATTTAAATCAGTAGGATTCGATAAGATGTTATATTTTATTAACAAAAGCCATCGTCCAGAAATATCTTCTCGCACATTTTATGTAATGTGCACTGTGCGGTAACCACGACGGTACTAAGAAAGCGAAAAATTACTGCAGTGAATGATATAGTTTTTATCGTATTCGCAAACATTCATTCGTTTTAAACACATTTTCTCCATTATACTCTCCATCAAATATCTTCTAATCTCGACTAAGTATCTTCTTCTATAAACAATTTGCTGCAATCTCTATATAATAATTAAAAAAAAAAATCAGGAAACAAAAGGATCGATTATAAGTACTGCATATTTTATTTATCCATATATGTAACTGATTATACTGAATATAAAAAATGCACAAGAGGGGCTGTGACTCACAATTGCAAAGTTAGCAATGTTACTGTAATATTGCTGATTTATGCTAGGCTAGGAATATGTTATACTTCGAGACACGCTAATTATTTTTTAACAATATCAAGATTTTTAATGACTGCTTTAGTTGAAAAGTAATATAACTGAGTAGCGAATATTACAAATCAATAATAACATTTTTAATGTTGGCTAATATTATATTACTTTTTAATTAAAGAAATAGCAACCAACATTAAAAATTTTGTAATTAAAGTAATAATTTGTGTATCCTTAGATACCATAGTCCTTCTTACGTTTTATCAAGACGTTTCTAACGTTTTGTCTAAGCTAACAAATAAACATATTTATAATACATGTGTATCACATACAATATTTGCTGAAATTTGATAAAAATTGAATTTGATTTAATAATTGAAGCTCTAACCGTATTCTTTAACTTTTGTTGGTGAATGATATCTGCCTGGTGAATAAATTGCCGATTGGAATTATCGACGGATATGAGAGAATGAATACTTTCGTTCCGATATATACGGAAGGAAAAATCTCGGCCAAGTAACGTCAGTTAGATCGGCGCGTAAATCGTTCCGCGAGACGATGAATCTTCATTTCTAGAGTACTTTCATTTTCTAGCTGTGTCGCGCACCTTTGGTCCGTGAACTGCAGATTGAACTGCTGTGGCCGAAGAAGAGGCGGCGATGGAGGCGGCAGCGACAGCAGCGAAAGAAGAAATCCCCTTGAAGAGGCCGCGTAACGACGGCGACGCGACCACGAATACCGTCTACCTTCCTGTGCCTTCCTTTTCCGTGGATATCCCCTCGGTGGCCTCTATAAAAGTTCGGAAGAGTCTCGACCGCACGCCACACGCGTGAAAGCTTGCAAGTGAAACGCTCGACATATCTCTTTTTCTACGTGCCTTACATTTCGGGAGTACCTTGAGCCTCCGGAGCGCACACGTGGAAGAAAATGCGGACCACCGCGGTAAGTAACAACGCGCGCAAACACAGATTCTTCTTAATTATTGAGTTTCGATTGTCGGTCCCTTATGTACGTTCCCACCAAAGAGAATCTCTTTACAGTAGAATCTCTAAAGAGTGAAAATTGAGCCAGTCTTGAGAAAGAATGGCTCAGTTTTCAATCTTGAAGAGTGAGATTTCACTCTTCAGAGTGACAATTCACTCTGAAGATTTTAGAGAGTAGATTAACTTTAATTTCTATTCGACTTAATCTTTTTCTTTTTCTAATTCTTAAGGTCGGTTTCACCACTTTGGTTAATTTATCAGCCGGTTATTGTATTGAAACTGATCAATTATGTATGCATTTGTCGTTAAGCAGAAGTGATCAGAATTGATTAGATTCAGTTTATCACGTTTAATCGACCGATCAAGCTTGGAGATGATGAAACTAGCTCTTAGAACTATAGAAAAAAGATAATGCGTTTCCAATGTGTGTGCACACACACGCACACAAAATTAATTCTTAGTTTAATTAATCTCTTAATTTACTCTTCATCTTTTTATAGTTCTTAGAATGAAGAATAAGTTGAACTGAGATCAAAATTTACATTAATTTATATTATTATAATAAATTAACTTTAATCTCGGTTGAACTTACACTGTAAAAAATAAAAATGTTAATTTTATTTAAAGACGTTTAGTGGACTATCTGAAACAAACAAAAATGTTAAAATTAACATTTCTCAAAAAATCCACTAAACGTCTTTAAATTAAAATTAATATTTTATTTTTTACAGTGTACCTTTTTTTTTTTTTTTTTTTTTAAGTTAAAACTAGACTTAATCCTAACGTTTTCATAATAATATATACTTTTCATCTCTCTCTAATTCTAAAGACAAGAGTAAGAGTTGAATCGAAATTAAAATTAATTTATTATACATTGATGGAAAACAGGCTTAATTGAACCGAGATTAAAGTTAATTTATATTGCTAAAAACGGGCATTAAAACGCAATTATTCAAAGATACAATCAGTGCGCATTTTTTCCATTATCAGCGTTAATTCACATCCCTTCAAATTCAAACATGAATGCGAGGAGACCATTTCATCGGCAAGTGAAATATCTCAATTAAATCGTCGCTTTCATTTATGAGGCGCAAGGCGAGAGATGTTGAAAAATTGAAGCGTATTATACGCTTGCCGTTTCGTTTGTGAAAATTCATGAATGATTGTCCATCATCCGTGTCGGGAAAGCGTTTTATATCGATGACTAATATGTTTATGACAAGTGCAATTTTTCTGAATCGAATGGAGTTCTCTTCGAGCGCGATCTACGAGGAACGAACACTCAATTCTCTTCTTCGCAATGTTCAAGACCGATTACTAAATTTAAACGTCGACTGACGCAATCCTCTTACCGAGTAAATGCGTAAGTCAATTGATCGAATGACCAGGTGCATTTAATGAGAGTAACTTTCGGTTCGTTCTTACGAAATCCTCATGCAATCCATCGCTGGATACATCCAGCTCATCTCGAGCCTTTCGTTTTTCTCCTGTATTTTTCCACGTAGGCAAGGCATTATACGAGATTAATAATTTATAAGTATACGATGGAATTTATCGAAAGGCCTGGCTTATTTGAAATATCCTTCCAACAATGCAGATGATATTTCATCGTCGAGGAGAACCGGTGGCGTTTACATCACCGACTCCGGCGGTTGGTTCGGCCTTTTTTTTTTTAGACGATGGAAAGTGACGGTGATCGCATTTTCCCGAGGAGAGAAAAAATACGTCGAGCGTGCATCCCACTGTGCGCGAGGTGCATCGGCACGAATCTCCCGCGGATTAAACCGCTCGCAGTGCGAGCAAAAGTAAAAGGATCCCGCCTATGCTCCCGCTCTATTCACCGACACGGTCTCGATAATTATAGCGCGAAGGAAAATGGGGAAAGCGGCTCCAGCTCTAGCATGCGGAGCGGAGTTTCGATGCGGCACTAAAAGCATGATTAAAGATCGGAGCGGTCGTTAAGTAAGTAGGAAGCTTCGCTCGAGCGGAGTGAGTTATCGCGCACATCGCACGCCGCGGCGTCTTCTTCCGTTCACGCTAATGGGACGTGCCCGTTGTATGGAATGGGAAACGCTATTCGGAATTAATGGACTCTCTCGCGGAAAAGATCAGGAATCGAGAATTCCGAGGAGGATTTGTCGGGCGGACGATTGACGTTCATTTAAGAGAGGCCCATAATTGCCGAGATTAAGCTTGTAGCTCGCCTTCCTGCTTGTAACATTCTGGATTTAAATTATACTTTATTATGAACACGCGATGGACTCACATAGAAAAAATGATTTGTTAAGGTAATTAAAAATTGGCTAGATATATCTTAAATAATTTTGTTAGACCATCGAAATAATTAAACATGTTGATATCTAATCATATAATTATCTAGGACGCTCAAACTCTCTGATTGCTAGAATGTTGCTCAAAACTTTTTTTTGTAGCATTGCTCATTATGAACATTTTACATAATTATTTTAATAGTCCAATAAAATTTTCAGACCTATATTTAACTAAATTTTTTAATTCTCCTTCTTTGACTTAATAATTTTAATTTAAAAATAATGAAATGTATTTTTCTCATTTATTAAATATTTCAAATTTAAATTATGAGTGTTGAATAAATATTATTTTTAATTTCTAATCAAGATAATGGATGACTTTTGTGAAATACATTATTTGGAAATCTATTAAACATTGTAAGCTAATCAGATTCTAAATAAAACGTGATCTTTGACCCTGTTTGGAAATTCATAATCAAATAGAAAAAAAAGAATGAAGAATATAATGCGAAGTATATTGAAAATCATTAATGAGTTCCCTGACATGCGAATAATTCAAGAACTTGCATCTCATCGTATTTATCTTTTTATTGAAGATAAATACGTGAATAGTCGCATACATGATTACGATCAGATCATACAGGAATTCGTAATAAACGAGTCATTGTATTCTTATAATTTGACCGATAGCGGTGAAAAATTGCTAAATAGAAATGTCTATCGCATTGAGTTCTTGAAGCAAGTTGAGCAATACCATGTCGTGTATTTTATCCATTCACCGAATCATTGGTCGACGTAATCTGTAAAATAAATTATTATTACGCGCATTTTATCACGAACGTGATGTATTCGACATGCCAATCGTTAATGATTAAATTATCGACAAATTATTGATTATGCGGAGAAAGAGAGTAAATTACATCCAAGACGTAACTGTGTTTTCCAATAAAAAAATTATATATATATATATATATTTCATTTAACATTTTTTGTAAGTTGGAATATGATGTAATATTTTGTTACTGAGAATTGCCAATCAATTGTATTTTTACAAATCGCATTAATAAAAATTACTATGCACATTGCAAAAGTTATGCATTTAAAATTGAATCAGATTAAAATTTATATGTATACTGAGACAAAAATTACTAAACTTTAATAACATTGTTTTCAACAGTATTAATTAAATTTATTTATATTAAATAAATATTTACTTAATAAAAAATTATAATTAAATCAAATTAATGATTCCTGTACCAAATAAATATGTTTATATTTAGTAAATATTTAATTAGTTATTATTTAGAGAAATATTTATTAAAATTTGGTACATTTTTCAATTTCTAACGCTTATTTTGTAATCAATGTTTTGTTGCTATTCAAAAAATCCTCTTATCAATATTGTAATTTTTATTAATAACAAAATGTACAACTTGCATAAAAGCAATTGCATTGAAGTCGCACTAAAATTTTGTTCTGAATGAAATTTAATTTTGTTTCTGATTTGAAAAACATTAAATTATTCAAATAATCAAAACAATTTTTTTTGCAAAATACATAACGCAGATAAAATTTTTGAATAAAAGTGTCACACTTTCCGTTGCATGTAATACCATATATGTCTCACAGAATAGCAAAATCTTTGTTGTAACTTTCGCTACACTCTTCGAGCACGTTAACATTGCAGTCACGATCATCATGATGCCTATTTTCTCTTTTAACAGAGCACGATTTTTGCGATCGTCTGCTCATCGATCGCACTAACGGTCGCGAAACCGGCGCCGGAGCCACCGGTGAACTCATACTTTCCACCCTCTGGAGGTGGTGGCGGTGGCGGAGGCGATGGCGGCGGCTACGGGCCGCCAGCTCCGGCTTATGGTCCGCCACAGCAAGCCCGGGTGATCCAAAAGCACGTATATGTCCATGTGCCGCCACCAGAAGCGCCGGAGTACAAAGCGCCCAAGCATGTGCCGCAACCACAGCCGGCCCAGAAACACTACAAAATAGTGTTCATCAAGGCGCCAACTCCGCCGACGCCGACCGCGCCGCAACTGCCACCGCTGCCGCAGCAGGATGAGGAGAAGACGTTGATCTATGTTCTGGTGAAGAAACCCGAAGAGGCACCCGATATTGTGTTGCCGACGCAGGCACCGACGCAGCCCAGCAAACCGGAGGTCTACTTCATCCGCTATAAAACTCAGGTAACGATTTATCTTCTTTCACTTTTTTTTTATTATTCGACGATGTAATCCATTCACCATGTTCTACCATTTCATACCAATATAGATTAACTTTCTTAATCTAACATTCTTGATTTAACTTATGTCTCTACCCATCCTTTCCTAATTCTTAAAACTGGAAGAAGTTAAAAAGTAAATAATCAGACTATAGATTGAGATTGAGATTGGATTGGAATTTAACTGATTAGAAGAAAGAAAATCAATATCAAGTTCAGTGAACTTTACTTTGATCAAATTACAATTCAATCTCAATCTCTAGTCCGATATGGCTTTACTCTAGTTCTAAGAATTAGAAAGAATAAATTAGAAAAAGATAGAATAACTTAGAAAGAGATCATCAATATAACTTAGAAAGAGATTAAAATCAATCTGCATTGGTAAAAATGAATCTTATTATATATAATTCATGTAGTTTTAAAAAAAAACGAAATTGCTTAAGCGCGCGAATTCGAGCCTTGGCAAAAATAACGACGTCTCTATCATCGGATAAGTGTAGTGCGTTGCATAATTTTCAGTTACTCAGAGCATAAATGTTACTCAAACGCGTATACATGTACGGATAGTTATTACTTTCAAAGCAATTTATCGAGAAGCGATTTCGGTTAAATGGCGAACACTGAAAGATGAAAGTATGCCTCGCGGCATGTAAATTGTTCATTTCGATGAGGAGCCGAGCGGTGCGGTGCATATTTTTGCTTTGAATATAAAGGAATCCGGATGTTAGATGCGAAATATTTACACATCATATATTTCAGATGACCTTACAGTTAATCGAACGCGAATCATCTTTTCATGGCTCAACTATAAAAAAGAAAAACGAAACTACCAAGGTGATTGCCGTGTCGACGATTTGAGTAATTATGGAGAGTTTCTCTTCAAGTGAATATGGCATTCCCATAATGCCTATCTAAGCGAACTTGTTGAGATTTCTACAACAATCGTAGTAGGTTTTAAAGATTAATTGTATTGTACACACTCTAAGTTGCTATAACTCTTCGTTACAAAAGATATCTTTCACTATACATGTTGTGCTCTGCTTAGTAAACTACAAATATCTGATCGAGATCCTTGATTTACTTTTTTTGTCGATCAGGGAATATTCTTCGATTAACCGTTGAAAATCTCTTCTAGCCTAAGTCGCTTTCCGAAATTGCTTGGCTTGCTAGGTAAACTACAAATATATCGACAAAATTTAAAATTATGCGCGAATACGCAGACTAACTACCGAACTCTGTTAATTGCCATCACAGAAAAAATCATGGCTGCGTGATAGCCATAATATATAAAATTCATATATGCGCGACATGCGTGTGTCATCTCTCTTTTTTTCTCTTGTCTTGTCTCTTACGCATTTATTTTTGCATTACAGAAGGAGCAAGGTGGCGGCGAATATGGGCCACCGGGACAACAACCAGGACAACCCATCGACAGTTACGGAGCACCACAACCGGGCCCGGGCCCCAGTGGACCATACTAGGCTCATCGCACGAGAGCACCCTCACCACCCTCGAGACTTCCGGTATTTTACGAAGACAAATCTTTAACGGTGATTATTCTCGCAGCCGTTTCGAGATACGTGAGCGCAAACGCACAAGCCCGGATGGATCTTAATAATTTTAGGAGGGATGTATATATCGCCTATATCTCGTAAGATAGGCCGCATGGTGTTAAAGGTGCTTAAAAGGCAGACGCTTCGTGTTGTTAAAGCCTATGATGTCGCTCGCGTATACAATTCACATATACAATTCACACTCACACATACGCATACATAACAAGTTCTTGAACGACCGAGTACATTTGTCGTGATTCTCTGTTGATATATAAAAAAAAAAAGAATCATTTTTAATATTTTTATATACGAGATGTCGATGTTTCTTTTGTATCTTTTAAGAAAATAATTTTAAATACATTTTTTATATCAAACAATTTCTGGTATTATTAATCACTTCACCGCCTTTCTCTTCGTCAGTTCTACCTTTCGTTTCTTACAATCTATTTATCTCTCTCTCTCTCTCTCTCTCTCTCTCTCTCTCTCTTATTTCTCGTTCATGTCTTATTAACGATGCGATATAAAATCGAAATTATTGAAATCTAGATCACGAAACAAATATTAATGTTTAAACTATGTTTTAGAAAATCTATACCCAACATGTATCTTTTTCCGGCAAATATTATTTTGTTAACTAAATTTACAATTATTATAATGATAATAAAATGAAGACATTTGGAACGTAAGATTCCAAGATAAAGTATTCATAAAAATACTTACATTTTACATTAGCATTAAATTGAATAACCAGCGAGTGAATTTTAATTTTTTCCCAATTAATAATTATATAATTCCCAATTATAATTGCTAAACAATTATAATTATAAATATATACAATTAATTATAATTAAATTCCCAAATTAAAATTCATACTTCCGCGGCTTATGAACTAGGTACAAGAGTACATCGCGTCAAAAGAATTATATTGGATCGTCTTATTAGTTTCAATCCTATAATAAATGCTATCGGCAAATGCAATATAGCTTCTAATTGAGCTACAATTGTATAGTCATATTGTACAACTAAATTTTTGTAAATCTACGCGACTATGTTAAAGATTCCAGACACTGGAATCATTTGAGATCGACAAATTAAAGTCATTAGGCAAAATACTACAAATAATTTTTGTCGATCTAACTTGATCATTGAATATGATAGGGTGTCATGATCGTAAAGCATGTCAGAGTCTGGACATTTTGTATATCGAACTGGTATCTACTAGTTTCTCTTAATTTCGATGAGCTGTGTGTTCGAAGGCTGTGTGCGTAATAAGAGCTGCGTATTCCTACTACAATACGAATAGATAGGTAGATCGTTGTTAGACTTTTACCTACAAAAATAATTGCGAATATATAAGATTGAAAATCGCTTCTTGCGTTACTGCATATTGATACTAATGCAGCGTGCGTACATACGGTAGAAGGTACACACCCGACTAGAATTACGGTCTGTTATCGTCGTATTTACATCTAGAGAGGTATAGTAAAACGTAGTTAATTGTATTAGATCGACAAAACGTAGCACTACGATAAAATATATATATATATATTTCAATTGAAATCGTGCATGATATCGCATGATTTGACTATATTGTTTTAGCTGTTTTTGCGCTTACAAAATCACGGTATTATTCTCTAAATGTCCTCTGTAATGCAATTTCTCTGAATTTATTTTTGTGAATAGACATTCTTATTGCGGTATCTAAATGCACAGTTGCTTTCTCGTTCGTGTCTTTTTAGGATATTATGATATTTGACTAGCTAACGCTACTATTGTTATCATAACAGTCCTTATCACTAAAAGGCATAACGCGTTTTAACAGATTTTATTATACATATAAATAAAACTTTGCTCAATTGAATATGCTAGATATACAAAAATATGATTGAAGACGTAAGAACGTATTATTATAGGAAAATACTGAAGTATCTTGTTATAGAATTATATTGTTGAATTATATTGTAGAATTATATTTCTTGAATTTTCGTGTCGTAAAGTTTGATCGTAGAAACTTCCAAGTACAGGCACACGAAATTACCGACCAGCGGATTTTTTTTTTAAACGGTGCAACAAATTAATAATGTTCTTAATAGTAATATCCGTATATTCCACTACTATCGCTATTTCGTTTCAGCAAGATTCTTCAAAGAAGTTTTTTACTTATGAAATTCGATCGAGGATATATTTAAGCGATAGAAATTCATGTTTTAAAAAATTCATAACCGTTACGAAACACGATAGTAATGATAATATACTTTATTTTTTCCCGTATCTTCCGTTGGATATGCACTATCACATTTCTTTTGAAGACTAGTGACTGTAAGTGAATGTAACTAACATCAGCGTTCATTACACTACAGTTATATGTCTTCTAAAGTATCGGGCGACGGAAGGAAAAACAAGTACAAGAGCAATACCTTAATATCGAAGAAAAAAAAAAGAAAGATCGAATCATCTTATTCTTGGTGCGATCGCTGACTTGGTTTTTGACCAAGCAACCGTTTAATGTATGGCGCGAGCAGTGGATAAGAGAGGAAGAACACATGTCCGCAATAATACATACTAGCGTAAACTTCATTATATCGCGGATACGAAAGAAGTACGAACGATACGAGGCTATAGCCCATGAAAACAAAAGTGTAAAGCTTCAGAAAGATCCAAGCGAGAACGCGTGCTTCCCATCGTATTTTCAGCATCGTTTGTACTATCTCGCTGTTCTTTAATACCGGTCCAATCTAGGAAAAATAAATCACATGGAAAATAAGGATTAAACAATAAAGAAGCAATCCAATTTTGAAAAATCTTGTAAAATTCTGTGTGAGCAATGATACTTACGTCTCGCTCGAAGTATAATACAACAAACTCCATAAAGAAACAGTGATAGTATCCGGAGTGAAAACCGTGCCAGAGAGCAAGGAAAAGCAGCGTCATTATTTGACTGTACATTTTTGAACCCAGAAACTTCAGCCTCTTGTAAATGTATTCCGCACACCAGTGATTAGTGTTTATGTTGAAGGAGAGAATGTAGTCATTGAATTGCATAGTAGTTTCGAATGTCCGCAATTTAACATTCGCGCAACCGTCCCACTTAACACGACCTTCAGAATCTTTTCCATTATATGTAAGACCAAAGACGATGCAAACCTGATATCAACAATCGATATACACAAAAGCACATATTACAAATACAGGTAAATTAAAAAATTATATTTCAATTATACATACTCCTTCTGTGATTAGCCAAACGCTGATGTATTTGTAGAGATTAATGCGGCCCCACAGGCCGATTATCAAGCATTTCTTTATTAAATTTAGCTTCTGGAATGATGGTTCAAAGAGATATTGATCAGAAACGTAAAGTGTACCGATTTGAAATATCACTACATATATGAATCCGACAAAAGCTCGTAAGAATCCCGCCGACACACAATCTGGCAGCTTGATGGCACCAGTTTGAGAATCCTAAAATATAAAGCGTGCTATTTATATTAATAATTAAATTGGAAATATTTTCTGAAATTAGAGAATTAAATGATCCCTGAATTCGTCGATAGACATTTAAAAGCTATTAGACTAATATTTTTCCAATTTATTAACGTACGCGTTCTGCAAGCTGACCATTGACATAGTCCAAGTATCGCCGCATACTGAATTGCGGTCCAATCAGGAAGGCGCCCGGAAAATAAACGTACGCCGCAATTTCCAATAGCGATGGTCGTTCTTTCAAGATAACCCGCTTTTGACTATCGGAGAGCTCCTCCTACAATACAGTCAGTGAATATTACGCCAAGGAATAAATGAGATAATAAAATTATGAAAAAAATAGCATTTCGTACGTCACGTTTCTGACCGTCCCATAAATTAAATGCAAGCCCTATTAATCTAAGGGTTAGCACGCACTGCGGCATTGTCCATTTTATATCATAATCTTGGGTACTGGTGGTGTAATAGCCTGTATTGAAAAATAATTTCGTTTAAATGCTTTGCAGCTCGAAACAATCGACGAAAAAGAACGAGAAAACGATAAAGGTTGTCTACGAACGCAAGCAAACGATTGTAAAACTAAAAAGTAATATTTCGATAAATTATACAACAAATTATAAATATATTATTGTATGACAAAAAAAAATTAAAAATATTAATTATTTCGTATCGCCCTCAATTGTTCGAATGATTAAAGCTAGTGCCAAATACATAATAACATTATAATGACAGATAAAGCCGGCCACATATGTTAAAGTAAACTTATCAAGTATGCGTGCACAAGCATGCTAATCAAGTCTATCGGAACGTGTAGATAACAAAATTGTACAATTATCGCAAATACAATACACACATTCCGATAAACTTGCATAAGTATACCTTGCATAAGTATACCTTGATAATGTATGTCGCTGACTTAAGATGTTACAATACAAAAAAATTGTTTTTCATTATCATTATAATTGTTTGCTTTTAACGTAAGATATGTTGTATTCTGACACCCTTTTAGTTTCCGAGAAGACGAGGAATGTGAATTTAAATCATAAATCAAAAAAGATTCATTGCTGGAAACCTTGAACGCATTACTCCAAGTCCACGATCGTGCCAGATAGCTCGAGAATACTAAATAGATAGTGCCGCAGGGTAAATATGTAAATGCGTGGATCGGTTTTTCGACTATAAATAAATTTTTAAATTTGATATTGTGTTGCTTTACCGTAAAGTAGATACGTCATGTTGAAGAGAAATGTTATTATGACGGATAACCCGGTGCTGCCGAGAACCGTCAGGATGAGATACGTTCCGCATACCGCCGTTGATGAATGAAGTATGTTATAATCTGCAAAATCATTATTATTACTATGATCGTCTTTATGAATAGATAAACGCCGGCGTGTCATTTGCGTGTCAATTAAATTGAGATACTGTTCGAATAAATTACCGTAATTCCAGTAACCAATTGAGAGACCGCACGCTATGAAAAATAAGTGCTGACGAATGGGATCTTTGCCATAGAGTGTATACCTATGAAAAAGGGCAACGGGGAAGCCTGAAATCAAATTACATAATTTCTTATTATTCTCGGTCATTGCAACTCAACGTTATTTCATTAATTTTCTGCGTACTCCTTTTTACATTTTTTCATTTGTATCAATTTTGAATGAGAGCAGTAAATGTTAATCTTGATATATAAATTTTATATAAATACATAAAATTTATACATAAAATTTATACATAAAATTGTGATTATAAAAAGCCCCTAAAAACCTGACAGTTATTTATATCAATGTTTTAATAAATTTTGTTGTGCGTTTGGAATGATTTTTTAAAATTAAAATAATAAAAAAGCATATAATATGTGTTATGTAACATACATATATATGTATGTATTAAATATGTATACATATATTGCATATACATACATTTGTATTATTAATATATGTAATATCGCTATGTTGTGCACAGCAATAAATTATAAGAATAAACGGTACTTGTTGAGCCACTACATACTGATTAAATGAAGTTTTTTAATTTATCAATTGATCAATCGTAGTATGCGCAAATATAACTTTGCTCCGTAAAAGCTATACTTGCAGCTAACGCATATCATTATATGATAATTCATTTATCATAAATATTTTTAAATTTTTGTATAAATTGTATTTGTAAAAAATTTGTATCAAATATCAACGCTTATTTTAAATGAAATTGATTACTTATTATAAATCCAAATGAGCTCTATAAAGCTAGCAGGACTAAAACAGCAGAATCGAATCGGACCTATCAGAATTTTTAGTATTCATTTTGTACTAAATCACTAATGATAATTTTGTATCATTTTGTGCCATTTGAAAAGAAATCGTGACGTTGCTGGCTTAATATTGAGTTGACAGGACCAATTCAAAATAAAAAAAGAAAAGAAAAATAATATCAGAAATCAATATGACTGAATTTGTATTGCCAAAAACAATTCTATATTATGTATCATTTCCAAAAAAAAACAGTTACACCAATAGTTTAATATTTAAATTAGCAGGATCATAAAAAAAAACACAAGGGAAAAAATTAATACAACTGAATTTATACCATTAAAAGTAAGTTAATAATTTACATGTTTTTTCCTTAAATGACTTTATTATTAGGTGTTGGAATTAATTCGTAGCGTTTTTTAATGAAAGAATGTTATTTATTTCACATGAGCATTAAAAAATACATTAATGAAAGTACTTCCCATCACTTGTAAAACGCTACGAATTAATTCCAACACCTAATAGTATATACATATAATATTTACAATCTATGAGGCATTCCACGTCAAATCGGACACCTTTGAAACATCGTCATTTTATTATTTTTTTTTTAATTTGCTAACATATATATTCTACAGATAAAACTGAGATAAGTATTTCGCGAAAAAAATATAAGATTTTTTTTTTTTAAGTCATTGACACTTATAAATTGCATATATTTATAAAAAAACGTCGCGTAATTTGATTTTAAAAATGTGATTTTTTCGCGAAACAAGTGTCTCATATTTTTATCTGTAGAACATATGTTAGCAAATTTAAAAATTAAAAAAAAATAAAATGACAATGTTTCAAAGATGCTCGGTTTGACGTAGAATGTCTCATAGATTAAGTATTATATACTAATAAAATCATTTAAAAAGAAAACACGTAAAATATTAATTTACTTTCAAGTAAGTATTACGAAAGTTACAAAATAATAGAAAACTTTTTGACTCAGTTTTGGTCAAGAATAGCATTACGTGATTCGACAATCGCTTATGACTCTAATATACATCAGTATATCATAGTATATTATGCTATATTATGTACAGTGTAATATATAATATGTCATTATACCATATTTTTCTCTTGTACAATATTACAATTATAATATGTAATAATATAATTATAACGTATCATTATATATATATATATATATGCATATAATTATATTATTATATATCATATATATGTCAGCCAATAATTGTTTCGATTTTTTGAATTCATTTAAACGATCAAAATAATCTTTATCTCGTTCTCTGATAAGTTATCGTAGTTACAACTAGAAAATTTAAGATTGTAATAAAACTGAATTTTTATCAGATAAAAGTATAAAGAAAATCAAGGTTTTATCAAAGATAAAACCTTTCTCTTTATTGTTGTCTATCTTATTCTTTTCTTTATTTTACCATTTTTTGTTTTATTGAATCTCATTATTCGTATAGACATAACTAGTTTCATGCCTGTATTCTTGCGCAATTTGTCTATTTAAATTCCGTGTCTCTCACTCTATGTTCTGAGCCTTTCCTTGAATTTATATCGCACACAAAAATCTATAATATACGTAACGTACTATAGTATTTTCGTGTGCCATATTTTTCGAGAATATGAGAATTCTGGGCACGTATTATTAAATTGTTAGGAATGGATTCCAATCGAAATTATTTAATTATTCCCTACATTTCTATCATGTTTTCTAAAGAAATTGGAGTTCGATCGGAATTTATTCCGAATAATTCAATAAATTCCATAATATGTGGCCTCTCTTCTCTTATCAAATTATCATTTTGCTACGAAGAGCCATCTTAGTACAACCTTGCCTCTATTTAAAAAAAATATATATATATATTTCATGCTCTCTGTCATTACTCAACTTGTGGGAATTAACTTGTACGTAAGAAATAAAATTATTATTATTCTTAGTAATCACATCTCGAACGCTAAATATTTAATGTATTTTTAAATTCAGCTCTACTAAAAATGAGATCGAGAATCGAGCTTTATTTTAAGATAGAATAGATCGCATCTCTTTTCTAAGCAGTGAATTATAGCGTAAGACAGTTATATAACGTGACGCGGTCATAAATAAACATAACATACTACCTGTGTTTATATCTACAGACACGGATATGTATGTCCGCACTTTTCATATCTCGGATTTTTTACATTGATTAAACACACATAATTTGATATACTCTATCACTATATTTTTTTTTTAAAGTGACCAATTATAATTACATGTTACTGCGAAAAAAGGAATGTCATCAGATATTAGTATATAAGAGCAAAATACAAAGTACAAAGTTTGTATTATTTATTAGAAAAGAATCTCAGAAAATAAAATGCGATTATCGATGTTAAAACAAAGTTAAAGCAAATAATTCATAAGAATGTATTCCGTTAGTCACTGTAAGTTTATAATTCACATTACATATCTATAGATTTTTATAGTGTCTATCATGAAACAAGTCGGAATGATTTCCGATCGGAATTGAGGATCATTTATACTGACCGTAAAATCTTAATTTATGCCATAAACTATAAGAAATGGACAATGTTACATGGCATAGTCGAATGTGAGGAGAATAATCGACCTTATTCCTACGATTGGTCAATTTTAAGTTAATAGTTTACGACCAACATAAATGATACTTTATTTTGTTTTCCTTAGAAAACACAATAGAAATTTAGGGAGTAATGATTTCATTTTTTAAAAATGACTTTATTTTACTGTTTATTAACGTAAAAAAATTAAAATAAAGTCATTTTGATTTTTTATTGATTCTTAAGCTGGAAACACAATGAAAAGCACAAGCAATAAGAACAAAAAATAACAAAGTTAAACAACAAAGTTATTTCCCTAAATCGTAACAAAATTAAATCTATCAAAAAGCATATAAGAATAAACATTTTCTAATAGGTTGAAATCTCTTATTCCCTGTGCTTTTCATTGTGTTTTCAGGTTTATATGTTCCTCAGAATATAGTAACTAACAGTTGGACGCAGTCAAGATCCGAATCGGTGTACATGTCTTTACGGGACACGGAAATGAGGCAGCTTGAGAACGAGAGGCTGATAGTGAATGCGTGTATTCTAACGATTAGATGAGCAACCTTCACATTGAGGCAATTACGCCGTTATAGCTTACCATCAACTATGTACATACACGCTATAACGACGTAATACAGCGAAGCGAGGGATGTCCCTGAAGGGATCAAAGAGGTAGGAAGGGGAGGGACAGAGGAATACGGGGAGGGTAGTCCCACATCGGCGATTGAGCGAAGTCATGAATGAACGCGGATTGATTTGTTCGGAGCAGTCCGGAGTGAATTAAGAAATTTCGGGAATGGAAAGGAAAGAGAGAGAGAGAGAGAGAGAGAGAGAGAGAGAGAGAGAGAAAAAAACAAAGAATAGAAGACGAGGGTCCTATTGGGATCCCATGATGAGGAGAACGAATCGTCCTTTGTCGTAACGAAACGAGGAGGTAACAACTAACACAAAGGAGAAAAGAAACGGTTAGGTTTACCCAGTAAAATCGAGATGAGGAGACGCAGTGCGGCCTCTGGAGCACCCAGAAGTGTCGACAGTCTCGCCAGCCCGCCCGGGTTGTGTACCACGTTGCTCATGATCAACGATGAAGAAGAGAACAGCGCAGACGACGACGACGACGACGACAATGCTTGTCAACACGCAGCGGCGTCGAATATACGCGGCAAATGCTACAGCATGGCCGCGTCGTTACGCGCGCGTATCTCGTCTGCGTGTCGTACCTTTAATCAGCAGCGGCGATTGCCGCCAACTATCACCGTAACCACTGTCAACACAACGCGCTACTAATACTATATTCACTATCGAGCTCTCGGCGCTGACTGCATGGAACGCTCGCGATTAACCTTCACCACCGACCGTCGCAGCG